GAAGAAATATGATTGATTAAAAGAAATAAATACAAATTAGGAAAGAAAGAAATCGATTAAGTACCATCAAATACACGGAGAGAAAAAAAAGTAAACGGCTCTACCTGTCGGTAGAACTTGCGTTAAATGCTAAACAGCCGTTCAACTTAGTGTTCCGCGTTCCACTCGTTTATGTTGATGTTTTGAAACAGTGTACAGCGTGCAAAAGTGACACTTCCTTAAAATTTAATATTTTTTTTTAATACATATTGTGACATATTATTTGTATTTCTTAAAGCAAATATAATTTATAATTTTGACGTAAGTAATTGTTGGTTTAAAAATTATTTTTTTTAGGTATATTTTTAAACGTATAAAACTTCTTTTTTGAAGTTAGGTTATGTTCGTCTTATTTTCTGTAATTCTAATTAACATTTCAGAATTGTATTTAGTGTTATTTTTAATTCTTATTTGTATATATCATTATGAATTTATATTTTCTTTTGGAACATTTTTAAAATAATAGCATAATTTTTAACTTTATTCATTTAAAGGCATCCGGGGTCTTACTTTCGTCAAGTAATCTTCTATATTAATAAAGTACTTAATCCGGTAATCTGTTCGCAGTTTGAACTTAGTTGTTGTTTGCTTTTTTGTTTCTTAACTTTTTAAAAATAATTTTTCATTTTTTAATATTTTCAATTTTAAAATTAATGTATTGAAAATCATTTAATTATTTCAAAGAATTTTATAAAAAATAAAAAAAATTAATAATAGAATTCCTTCGAAGAATTTTATTATTTAGGAAAATAATTTAATTCTCGGGAAGAATATTTATAACATTTTTAAAAATTCTAATTAATTTCTTTTTTAAGAATTTCTTTGAATATTTTTTAAAAATAATAAAATTTATTTCTTTAATAGTTTTAATTAAAAATTCTAAAAATAATTGAATTTTATGAACAATTAAATTCAATTTTATTAAAATTTTCGAAAATAATTAGATTATTGCTAATAATTTTTATTATTTATGAACATAGTTGAATTTTTTGCCAAGAATTTTATTAAAATTCATGAAAATAATTGAATTCAATTAAATAATAAATAATAATAAAAATAATAATTAAATTAATAATCTAACGGTTTTCGAAGAATGCTGTAACGTATATACGAACGATAGATAAATTAAGATAAGAAGGAATTGTATTTAATTTATATTGGTATTTGTTATAAGTTAGCGAAGTTTAGGTATGGTTATTTACATGTGTACACAGTAAAGGATTATTCAAAACCTTTTGATTATTAATTTAAAGAGTGACATTACTTTTAATTTAACCCCCTTATAATTGAATTGTTAAACGAAACATTATTTTTTCTCTTGCATTAATTTTAACCTAAAAACATATAAAATGGGCAAAAATATTTCATTTTAATTTTTGAAGTGGTTTGATTTTTTTTCTTTACCTACAGTTTTTTGTAGTTGATAAAATATTTTATTTCTTCGTAGTCTTAGACAAAATTTTAAGATTTTATTAGATAAAACATGTTAAATGTAAACTAAACGACATTCAAATATGTTTTATTAGCTAAATATTGGTTTTGATGATGTTTTTATTAATTATTTGTCTTTAATTGCAGATATTGACGACTACATATTTTTACAAAATTACAAGGCAACCCATCAAAAATTTCAACAGAAATTTTGTCTGCAATAAACGATTACATGCAAACATCCATCCATGGAAAATATTGTTCTTCTCATATAGAAATATATATTTTATGCTTTAAAATTTGTTAACATTTATTTTAGGGAGGAGGTTAAGGTTAATTTGTTAAAAAAGCATGCTTTTAAGAATTTTTTTTACTATTACATAAAATTTATTTTATCAACTTTCACATAATATTTCAACATTTGTTTAACAATATTTTACCAAATTTTCATGGTTAATTATTGACAATTGTTCGAGTGAATGAGAAACTTCTCTTGTGCTTCCAAATAGAAATTGTTTTTCGGTGTACGTGATATCTCACAACATAATCATTTAATACAAAAAAGTCAAAACATATTTGTCAAACTTTATCAGGTTATTTTTTGTTTTTCAATTTTTCGTAGGACTCGTAAGCCAAAAAATTATTTTTTTCTATATAAAATCGGCAAATGTATTATTGTAATATTATCAATTGAAGCGTTTTGTGCAGAAACAGCATAAATCCATAATTCGAAATTGTTCAGGAATCAATAAAAACTGTTTTTCTCGTAAATGTTAAGATTTTTTAAATTCTGCTTTTTGTATTATATTCTACTAACCTATAAGTTAAAAAATCCAATATGATTAATTAATTATCTACTTAATATAAAAAATTAAAAAATAAATTAACATTTGGACTTATGCTGTTTCTGCACAAAATGAAATGAAAAACACAGAAAATTTATTAAATCCAGTGAAATATCAAAGTTTTATGAAATATTTTATAACATTTATTGTTTTAAGAATAAATTTAACCAATTTTCAATATTTTCTAATTTTAAAATAATTTAGTCACCACTATCACTTTTTGCTTTCCAGGAGTGTTTTTATTTATAATATAAACTGTTTAACATAAATTATTAAAATACGTCAAGAATATCACAAATAAATATAAAACTTATCATGGACTTGTTCTGTTTCTGCACAAAATGATATTTTAATTATTTTTTAAGGGTTTAGAGTTTAGTCACTTATGTAATATTTTATCAAATTGAAAAGCTTTATTTAAAGATAAATTTTCAAAAAAAGTGATTTTCGAAAAAAATGGACTTTTGCGGTTTCTGCACAAAAAGCTTCAATTAAAAAAGATGAAAAAACTCACTGTACCAAATTTAAGAAAGATTTGCATTATTTTTGCACGCTGTAATTTAAAAAATTTGACAATGGACATTTCTTACGGCTTAGAAATCGTTCTTTTCAAGGATGAATCAGAAAATATTGCAAATTTAAAAATAAACAAATTATAGATGATTATTTTATTGAAAAAAACATTAATCCTCAAGTCTGGATCAACCCGGTAAGAAACGGAAAATTGAAAAGAATTTCAATTCAAAAGTTGTATTCTTCTTAATAGGCGAATTTACCTCGGTGCTCTACACCCAGAGAAAATTATTATTTAAACCAAATATATTTTATTTGAGTTAAATAAACGTATATTTGTCTCAGAACCAACTAGACTTTTTATTTGTTTTAAATAAAAATTTTATTCGATATAAATAAAACATATATTTGAGCCAAATAAAATTTTATTTAAACCAAATAAAATTTATTTGAAACAAAGAAAAAGTCTAGTTGGTTCTGAGACAAATATACCATTTCTCTGGGTGTATTCCACCGAAACCACAAAAATTTCAGAAATATCTATTATTTACAAAACTATGAAACGCACATTCAAAAGAATGAGACAGTACAAACAAATCAGTAGAAATTTCTATTCCACTTAATTGACATTACTACCACTCCAGATCTCACTGGAAAGTTTTTTAATTTATCATAAGCACTTTTAATTTTTTTTAACATTATTTTCATTAGTTAAAGACCTTCACAGAATAATGATCTATGGCACATTTAAAAATGCTTGCAATAATCAACTTTAAATTGCCATAAATCGTTACTTCAAATATAATTTCTAATGAAAACCAATACATTTCATTCTCTCTTTATTTAATTACACTATTTCATTCATTTAGGCTTAAAAAGGAGTATAAATTGAAGGAATAACATGTATCAATATTAAATATGCATTATTTAGGCCATAAATGCTTTTGAACACTCACCACGATTCGTTTTCCTAATTTATAATTACGTGTCATTTTCTATGACAAGAAAATTAATAAAATAGATGTATATTTCATTTTTTGTATTAAATAAATTAGTTTTCATATTAAAAACATATTAGAAGCGAGAAAAATTGAATTTTTTATTAATACTAAAAAATTCAGTTTGAGGTGAGATCAAATACATGGGAATCAGGGGGGATCATCTTGTACACCCATTGAGGGATCATCTAGGATATATGTATATTAAATTCTGAGCAAATGTCCAGATGTATGTGTGTGTATGTCACAAAAAATTGTATACAAATTATCTCAAATAAATTTTAATGGATTGCCCTGAAATTTTGCAGGTTTATTGCAGTCATTAATACCTAAAATCGGACACAAGGATTTTCAAATTTTCCAAAACATTTTTTTTATCCAATTTTTTCAAAATTAGAAAAAAATTTTTTTTGTATTTTTTGAAATAACTTTTTTATTTTTAAATATTTTCATTAATTATTCTCAAAATTACATTCCTGATAAGAAAACGAATCGATTGATATATACAAAGTGTGCATTTCATCAAAATTTATAAAATTAATCGATATTTTTCTTTTTCACAAAAAATTCAAATTTTGTGTTTTTTGAATTATTACCTTAACATATTAAAATAATTATTTTATAATAAAAAAATTAAGCAATTGGTTTATATTATTTTGAGGATGCGAAATGGTCATGAAATGAACAACTTGTTTTTACTGGGTTACTATATAAAGAGTTAAAAATCTATATTGTAGATAATAACTATTTCTTTAATCAAACTTCCAATTTGTATGATTTTTTGATCTGTTTCAAAAATTATTTTTTTAAGTTTGAGCAAAATTTTATAATTATTAAATATTTTAAAGTAAAATATGAAAAATTCAAGGACGTACGAAAGTTGAAAATCCAGGACATTTAAGGACATTTTTTCAAATTTCAGAATTTTTTCCACCCTGAATTGATATATTTAACGATGGTAATGAATATCTTTGTGACCATAATCCATAATATAATGCAATGGTTGAATGTCGTGCGTTTATTTCTTGCTATAAACCAAAACACGCATGTTTTAAGACGATGGTGGGTAAAATTCCACATCCAGCCAGCAATGCAGAATTTATTTGGTGCCTACCAGACGCTGTCCACATATTATGCGAATTACAATCACGAAGATTTTTATCAGATGACTTGAATGACACCAGAAGATTTTGAGTTACTTCATCGCCTGATTGCTCATCGATTGCGAAAAGCAAGTTTTAGGGAGCCTTTGCCAACAAAACTAAGATTAGCATTGGTGCTAAAGTATGTTAAATATATATGTGAGCTTGTCTATGAAAAGGGAATTTACGTGTTAAAAAAATCACTTTTCACTTTTCGTTGATTCACATAGATTTTTAAAATGCTCATTAAGATGGTGAAAATCACAAAGTCATAATTTGTTTGGAATCGAATTTTGCAGAGCTCTAATTGACAGCTTTCAAATTTAAACCTGTCAATCTGACATCATGTTCGTAATCAGCGATCTCGAAAACCCTTTCACTGATATTTTCATTAAAAATAGTTATTATGTAAAAAAGTTATTAGTTAAATCACTACAAATAGTTATTATTTAGAAAAGTTGAGTTTCTTTGACAGTTGTTAACTTTAAAAATTTAAGTTTGATATCATGTTCATAATCAGTGACCTAGAATACCTTATTATATGTACTTTATTTCTTTATTAAAAATGATCACTTTTCAGAAAACAATTTCTGAAAAAAAATTAATATTTAAAAAAGTTAAAAGGGTTTATCTAAGTTTAAACTTTAACTGCTGTTTTCTTAAAACCTTGTTTTTGTACATAAAGTCTCTTTTCATAGACCAGGACACATATAATAAAAAGTGGGGTCAAAACTGGTAAGAAATAAGGTCAAAAATCTTACATTCTTTTTTAAATCTCATTTTCTAATATTCTAAATTGACAGGGATAATTAAATTTACATTGTCATTAAATTGTGTATAATAAATTATTATTTTCAACCGGTTTTGTCTCAATCAAATTTTTTTCCAAATAATTTTTTTTAAAAATTACCTGAAAGTTTTGTTTATTAACATTTTCAATATTCACTGAACGAAAGTTCTATTTAGTATATGTTTAACAAAATATTCTGGTTAAATCAACTATTATTCTTGTGAATATAACCGGGAAATATTGAAACCAGAATACTGGTAGCTCTGGCCGTAATATTTTTTCACTATTGAACTTCATGAATTTGTTTAAACTTTATTATTTTAAATAATTATATTTTTCACATAATTTAAAAAATTATGATTTTCTTATAATTTTTTAATTAAATTTCATTTTCATGGTTTGTTAAAATAATAAAATAAAAAATAGATAGGGGTATGACATTTCATTGTAAAAAGGATGTATTACGGCAATAACATCAGATTAATTTGTTGTAACATTTATCCTTTTTTTAATGCGCCAGCTTACTTGCCAATGGTGACAGCATAAGAACAACACAAAATTTCTTTCGAGTAGGAAGATCTACCATTTATAAAATACTAGATGAAGTATGTTCCGTTATCTGGGAAGAATTGTCACCATGGTATTTAAGAAACAGAACGTCAAGAGAGTGGAGGATAATTGCTGCTGGATTCCGAACGAAATGGGATTTTCCGAATTGTATAGGAGCTTTGGACGGAAAAGAAATAGCCATATCAGCACCACCAGATACAGGCAGTCTTTTTTTTAATTATAAAAAATTTTTTAGTTTTAAGCTCCTAGCAATTTGTGATGCTCATTGTCGTTTCACTTGGATTGAAGCTGGCGATTGTGGTAAAAAATATGAATATGATCATTTAAGTTTTACTTTCTATTACAATTCTTGGGCCGGATTTACCAACAGCGATTAAAAATTAATCAATGATTAAAGTCTATTTAACCGCACATTATTGGTCGATTAAGGATTTAATTATTGATTACCTTTTAATCACTGTTGGTGAATTCGGCTCTTAATCTCACTTCCAATTTCTTTTGTTTTTAATTATTGTTTTAGAATGACTTTATATTAAAATTTAGCGTTGAAATTTAAAAAAAATTAATAATAATTAAAAAAGTCTTAAATAGTTTTTAATTTTAATAAAGTATCTTATTTTAATGCAGGTTCTGTTAGTGACTTAATTTCGTTTAGAAATACTGATTTTCATAAGGCAATATTAAACGACGAACTGAATATTCCTCCAAGTTGTCTCTTGCCGCGTTCTAATATCAAGATGCCTCATTTTTTCATTGGAGACGAGATCTTTACTTGCCAAAAACATCTCATGATCCCGTTTGCAAGACACAGACCTCTAACAAATGCTCAAAGTCATTATAACTACCGGTATATATTTTTATGATTATTCATTTACAAACGAAATTGAAATAGTTTATATAAATTTTTTCTTTTATTGCGACATTTAATTCTTTTATAATTACTGATTTACAACTATTATATTTTTCATTTACTGAGTATAGGTTTTACAATAATTTTTATTTTTAAGTATAGTAATAAAATAAAATATTACAAAATTATTATTATAATATAAATATTTATAGATTATCTAGAGCTAGGCATACAATTGAAGCTGCTTTTGGAATTTTAACTGCAATGTGGCAGATTTTAAAGAAACCTTTAAGGTTTCATTTGCAGACTTCAATTCATGTTGTTTTAGCAACTGTTTGCCTTCACAATTTTATTTTGACGAGACGGTTACAACGAGGTGAAGAAATAGACATCTCTGAAAATATGAATGTAAATAGAGGTAATTTTTATATTTTTTTAATTAATCCTCATGAAATATTACAAATTTTATGAATTTTTTTGTTTTTTTAGCATTTTAAACTTAGAAATCGTATTTAACAAGGTAGATAAGTCTTAATCTATGGTTGTCGAATGACAAAACGAAGATGCAGAGGGACGAGATTAGGAGAGTGAAGGAGCAGTTAGCCGTGCGTCGACGAGAGGGAGAAGCAAACATTTCTTTGGTTTTTCGTCGTGGAGTTCCCACAATTATTAAAATCCCTCCCTGTAAACGTACTTCTATTCTCACACTTCAGATAGGTGGGTAAACAGTTGGCCAATCCAACTGCAGTACCTGGTTTTGGATTAATTCTTCTGTTATCATTCTCTTCAGTGTTTAAGGGGAGACCCCACCTTAATTTTGACCCCTTTAAAATAAAATTATTAAACGAGGTAATATTTTTTTTCTTGCATCATTTTTAACCTAAAGACATATAAGATGGTCAAAAAAATTTAATTTTAATTTTTGAAGAGGTTAGAATTCTTTTTTTTTCACCAATTGCATATTATTGAAAATCCATGCGAGAAGTTGTTTAGAATGATAAAATATACATGGAAAAAAATTTTCGTTAAAAAATATTAAAAACTGTAAGAGAAGATCGATTTTTAAGTTTGACATTTTGACATTTTGCTGCAATTTCAAAAGATCTGAACATCTAGTTTTCTCCAAATTGTGTATACTTACGTAATCTGATGAGCTGATTCCAAAAAACGTAGTTAAAATTCACGTCTAGCTCATTTTCATGTCAAAAGTCATGAAAATCGTAGTTTTTTACGTTTATTTCGGTAAATATAAAAAAGTAAATATATAACAAAATATTTACACAAAAGTAAGAGAATATATGTATATTATATTTATATTATCAATAAATATAAGATTTAAACATTTAAATAATTGAAATCAACATAATCACGAACGTAAAGAATAAATATACATAAACATAATCATGCATACATACATACATACATACATACATACATACATACATACATACATACATACATACATACATACATACATACATACATACATACATACATACATACATACATACATACATACATACATACATACATACACACATACATACATACATACATACATACATACATACATACATACATACATACATACATACATACAAACATACATACATACATACATACATACATACAATTATATATACATGTATACACACATACATTCCTTCTCACATACATACAAAAGTATTTTAGAAATAAAAATGGTTCAAAACATTCCTGCTCCATACATGACGCCTTCACTTTCTATTATATTATTTTCCCTTCGGCTTTTAGCAAGAGTCATAATTCGGCGAGCTTTCTTATACTTTTCGGTTGATTTCTCAATTCCTCTTGCTAATTGGTAACAGTCTCTTTTCTTGGCTAAAGATAAAGTTTCGCTTCCAAAACACAGTCCTAATTTTTCTAAAATTTCTTTCAATGTTCTCGTGAATCCTAAATTATATTCACTAACAGCTAAGCAGACTGCGATATTGATCCGTGACTTTCCAACAAATGTTTCCTTTGGACACCTACTCCAAATGATGCTGTGCAAGCTTTCATTCGCATTTTGCGTAAGGCATCGTGAACATCGTATCAATAAAGATTCATCCGTGAGCCTTTCATAAACGGGTAACACTTTTGAGAAACATAATTTATTGAGTGGTGTTTTAACGTTATTTTTATGAGATCCTGGAGTCTGATTTCTTGCTTTGGCAGCTTGATAAAAACACCAAGAAAATGTACCTTCAGGACATTTCGAATGTTGTGGATCTTTATCTGTGGAAACGGCATGGTAGATAGATGCAAAAATTGCATCTCTCATTGCCTAGAAAATATTCAATTGAAATTTATAATTCAATAATTTTTTATTTATCTTATAAATATTGGAAAATATGCATATTTACATTGATATCATTTTTGTTCCTGTAAATGGCCTTCTTATAATATTCTGACAATTTTTCGATTGTTGTTTTTTTTAGCTGCCCATGACCTCTTCCAGAAAGTGTTACTTTGCGAGCTTTTTCCACTTGAACAAGCTAGATAGACTACAATACAATCTGAAAGAGCAAATAAAAAGAGTTGCTTCTTTCCATCATATTGATTTGTAAATCACAGTAATTGCATTTCAAATAAATAATCTCTAAAGCTCAATATAACTTGAACTGTGAAGCGCCTTGGCTTAGCGATCATCAAAGTTCAGTAACCATGACAGCATTCGGATATTTAGGATATCGTATGAATGTCTTGGAAGATAACTATTGGTTCGGTGCAATTAGGATATTCTTAGGACATCCCATATATGTCTACGGACATGTTACAGACATATTAGAGATATCCTAATTTCCGGATACGCCTGGGACGTCCATAAGATATCCTAAAACATCTGTTGCTGTTAGGGAAAGTTTTACGTCGAGAATATGTTTGTGCATTTGGATGAATATTCAAAAGCACATTCGTGACTCAACCGTCAATAAACCGGGAAAAATTACTGGGGAAAGGTTTCGTACAGTTTTTCTAATCATTATCCTGCTCAAAAATAAGGCAAATGCAAGTACAGTCAACCCCCAACAAGACAAGGCGCAATAACTCAAATTTTTTAGAAAGTCAAAGTAATTCTTGGATCTCGATCATTTCCTATAAGCATTATCAACATTTGATAACACAATCTAAAAATAACTAAAAATTTTGTTGGTCTCCCTTCAAGTATGTCTCATTGAGAGTCGACTGTACTTCATATTCAAGTCAATTTGCACACAGAAATAAAAAATTTCCAAAATGTGAGCATTAGAAGGTTTAGTAAATAAATTATAAACAACAATCTCTAAAGACATTGTACTTACCTCTTTCCAACATGATTTATGCATTCTTCTTTAGTGATTGGATGATCGGTTCCATAAATATTCAAACTTGATAAATGATTGAATGTCTTCGCGTCTCCATCAGAGAGTATTTGAATGAAACGAAAACCGTATGATACTGAACGCTTCCAAATCTTCTCAGAAACCGCTACCTCCATTGCTCCAGATGATCCCTCGTGATTTTTTTGACAAGAATCTACATGACCTTCATACCAAACATCATATTCCGCTGAGTCATCGCCTAACTCAGCAGCAGCAATTGTACAAGCGTGACAATATTTTGTCATTATGTCAAAGTCAACGACGAATCCTGATTCTATGTCAATGACGCAGCCTACACCATGCTTGGATTTGTAGCCACGGGTATGCCACGTACCATCATAAGGGAGCGTTCACAAATTACGTAACGCTAATTTTTGAAAATTTTGACCCCCCCTCCCCCCATTTAACACACTGTTACATACATTAGCGCCATTTTTTCTGCTGTTCATAACAAATAGCTAGACCCCCCCCTCCCCTTTATAATGTTACGTAATTTGTGAACGCTCCCTAACTAACACCAAGGTCAATGAGTTCTTCATTTGATTCTTCGATTTCCCTCAACGATTCTATTACTTCAGATCCATTACAGTCTTCGATTTCTTCCATTTCCGTACGTAACTCTTCTTCTTTATCTTCTCCTTTTTCTTTATAGATTTTCCGTACATGCGATCGACACTCATTCAAAAGCTTTTGCGTAACTTCATCAACACAAGAATTTATTTTTTTCAAATATTTATCAAAGGTTGACTCTGAGAAACAATGTAAACTTAGAATCACAGAAAATTGTTGAATCGCTCTATATCCTTTGCCCATAAATAGAAAAGCTGTTGCCATACGCAAATTTATGTCAAATGGAGCACGAGATGTGTCTTCAATACTTGCAGGTTTAGAAGAATACGTTTCTGATTTTACCTCTTCAAAGCCGTTGTCTTTACATCTTTTACATAATAAGACAATTTTACAAGCGAATCCATTTGAATGTTTTTTATTTACATCAAATGCCAGCGATGTTTCATTACAATCTACACATTTCACTTTATCCAATAAAGTGTTCAACTGTGAAATGTCTATAAGTAGATATTGGAAATTATTATTTTCAACGTTTTCTTCTTTATCCACTTCTTTGAATTTTGCCTGAATCCAAGCATTTCGTTCGGGATATTCGTTTGAATTATTTTCGTCCCAAACATGATTTGTTTCCGAAGTGTCGTTTATTTCGGGAAGATAATTACTTTTTTTGAACCATCATTTTTCCATCGCTTCCGCGCTAACTCTCGAAAGTGTTGAACCCTTTTCTGAGGAGGCATTTTGATTCTTATCCCAAATTTGCAATTTACTACACGGAGAAGGATATCTAAGTTACAAAAAATGTCAAACTGACAAAATTATTTATTGACATTCATTTGTTACTTAAAAAAATCTGTCCGCGCAAGCGCGGACACATTCTCATCCGCGCTTCGCGCGGGGGCTCGCTTCGCTCGCAAGTTTCAGCGCGCCTCGGGGCGCGCGAATATTGATCGTCGCGCTTCGCGCTCCGGCGATTATTTCACACGTCGCGCTTCGCGCTCCGTGTGTTGTTGCGCGCTTCGCGCGCAAATGGCTCGCTTCGCTTGCGGCGGTCTGCAATTGTTGTGCATTATTTGTGTTCTTGTTCTTGTTTCCTATTATATGTTTCGTAAAACATTTTTTTTTCTTAAAGTTACTACGACTTTAAGGATTACATTCTCATCACATGTTTTTGTTTGCTGATGATTGCGAGATAAAGTGGATTTAAATGTATATTTTTGGTCTTGATGATTTAAATTGTGAAGTTATTTTTAATTATACTAACTCTTAGTAGAAATATTATTTGCAGAAGCAGATAAAATATTCTTAAAGTATTAGTATCAAGGTTTTTGTGTAGTGTAGACCGGAGCGTAATGGCTAACTTTTCACTCTTTGTTGATTTACACGGACATTTTTGTTTTAATTAAGTGTTTATCTCCTAGAAAAGTTACTCTAGTACCTCAGCTTTCTTTTAAAAAGTCGAACGTTCCTATATTACGCTTACTTTTTTTTCTACAATGAACGTACACTTCGTCGGTATCGTAGGTATTGCTCTTTCCCGTGTAGAAATTTGTCGTGGCCTTCCTAGAAATAGACTACAGCTAGATAGCATTTGTCGTGGAAAATTATTCTGAATAAACTGTCCTGGCCCCGAAATGTTAATGTACAGTTTTCCCCTTTATTTTCTTCGCTATGAAGACAGTCTAGAATCTGGCTAAAATTTGTCTAGGATACTGAATTGAAAATTCAGTACAAGTTCGTATAGCAGGTTGTCCAAGAATTAGCTGGGCACTGTCTAGGACGCTGACTTAAGAA